TGTGTGTGTGTGTGTGTGTTCCTTTTTTTTTTTTTTTAATATTTGTATTACGGAAGCTCCTAGCCAGAACCCTAAACCCCCCAGAAAACCCTAAACCCCAAGCCAGGTGAACAGCAAGCTTGGGAGGACGTCGCATGAGCTGGCTCTGCACTCCCCAAGGGATTTGCCACCACCGCAGAGGCAGTCTTTGACCATGAAGCTTGGCTTTAGGGTTTAGGGTTTAGGGTTTAGGGTTCGTTGGCATCTTGCGCAAGTATGCCAGCAGTAGGGTTTAGGGTTTAGGGAGTTCAACGGGGGCATGGGATTTTATTTGGGTCATATAGGCACCAAAGAGTAGGAACTCATCAGGGAACAGCCATGACGGGGTTGAGGTGCATAAGATATAAGGTATAAGATAATATACCATACTATACTATGAGGTACTCTAATATACGATAATGTACCAGAATATAGTATAAGGTAACATAATATACTATAGTACATGTTTGTGCAGTTTTGATGCCCAAGGTTGCTCTCAGATTAAGATTCATTCAGGCTGACATCTCGTGAGCGTGCTTGGGACCCATTGGCCGGCCCTCAGATTCTCCTCCTACTACTGCTACTGGTTCTATTCTTATTGTTACTATTAATATTTCTCTATTACTATTAGTACTACATTACTATACTACTGTTACTGTTACTACCATACTACTAACACAAGAGTAACGTAGACCCATGATTAATACACCTCCTCATTTTACGGGCCTAAATATTAAGATTTCTATCCTAATCCCTATTAGGGGGAAGGGATTTATTAATCAGGGGTTCTGGGGTAACAAACGGAGGCTCACTTTGGCACTTGTAGTTTTGTTTGAATGACATCAAGACGAGGACAATGTTGGAGCAAGCCGAGCATCATTTTGTGCCCATCTTCACCTCAATCTTGCTGCCTCACGCCTTTGCCTTCTGCGTCGCACAGTCTCTGGATTGCGGTTTGGGGTGTGCATGTGTCATTCTTTGTGTAGTTTTCCGGAGAAAGTCAAGTCTCTAGATGGTTGTTTCCACCATCATTACCACACTTTTCAGGTTTTTGCTCAGGCGGCACCATGGTAAGAAGATGGAGTTTGTCCAAGAAGTGTCGGAAGCCGATAGCAGACCTCGAAGCTTCTCTTTCATCGTGTCGCGAGTGGCCCCGATGTGGGCCATTCGTGCCCTGTCGATTTTTTCATGGTATGCCTCTACACCAAGCCTGGATTACATGTATTTGAACTTTCTGGCTCAGCAGTACTCCAGCGGACCACTCGTTGACTGCTCAAGCCAGATGGGGTCCGCTTCGTGCAGCCGAGCTGTGGCAGATCTCATGCAATTGAAGATTCTGGGTTGCTGTAGAGGAACTTAATTTAAGTTACTATATTGGGGAAACCCTGTTATTTACTATATATACCTGGTAACTTAATTTAAGTTCCTTAACAGCAACCCAGGATTGTGAAAGGCTTTGCCCAGCCAGTGATTCAGTTCTGTGCGGGGCCAGCGCTCGGTGCCATCAGTGACGCCTTTGGCAGGCGACCAGCAATTCTCTGTCTTCGTTTTCTATTGCTTCTTCCCACTGTGGCAGCAGCGGCTGTCACATGGTTTGACCTCTCCATATGGGTTGAGTTTGCTGTGCAATTTGTTGGCATGATTCCCTACAACCCTGTTCCCCTTGCCTGGTATATGGACCGAATTGACCATACACCCAGCTTGGTCATGGCAAACTCCATGGTGGAGAGCTCAGGCATTCTTATTTCAATCCTGGGTACATTGTTCGGTAGCACTCTGGGCCTCAAGCAGGCAATGCTTTGTGGCATGCTTGGCAATCTGGGGTGTCTTCTCCTTGCGGTATTCTGTTTGCCGGAATCCTTGCCTGAGGAGAAAAGGGTCAAGTTCACTTGGTCCAACCTTCTCCCAACTGCTGCGCTGCGAGTGCTTTTCGCAAGTCCTCTCATAGAAAAAATCACAGCAATCTCAGTCCTCGAGTCCTTCCACTATATTGGCTTCTACACTGTGGCAGCCCAGTTTTTGCAGCAACGGCTGGCGTGGTCCCGCCGCGAGACGTATGAGAACGACATGCTGGCGCAAGTTTCTGAGATGCTGTGGCTGACTCTGGGAACTGCCGCCTTGTGGCCGCTTTTAGGATGCCAGGCTAGAAAGAAGTACGCCTGTTCACGGTTCATGATGTCTGCAGTATATGGTTAGAAGACAGCGGCAGCATGTTTTCTTGTCATGGGAACCTAGAAGCCAGACATTTCCCCATGGAACATAGTAGGAATAGTAATGGTAAGATTACTGATAAGATTCTAATAGTACGTATAATGCTAGCCAGATAGAAATAATAGTAATAGTAGTAAGAGTAGTAATAGTTATAATCATAACAATAGTAATAATAGTAAGAAAGGTAATAATAGTAATAATAGTAATGAATAGTAAGAATGGTAATAATAGTAATACTAGCAGTAATCACAATAATAGAATCTTTGTTGTAATACAACGTAGTAAGAGTAATAATGGTAATCCTGCACAGCAGAGCAGAGCACAGGACAAGTGGGCATCATTGCAGCGAGCACAGTTGCAGCAGGCGTGTCAGGCCTAGCGCTCATGCTGTCAACGGAGCGCTGGCAGGTGAGGCCTTCTGAACAATATAAGGGGTATGTAGGGGTTATATAGGGATAATGGAAAAGAACATGGAAGCCACTATTTAGGGTTTGGGGTTTAGGGATTGCAGGTTGAGTGCTGGGGCTTAGGGTTTAGGGTTCATAGGGTTTCAGGCTAACGGTTCATAGGACTTTAAAAGGCATTGCAACTGCCATTTTAGCCCCTGGGTAAAGGGCTCAGGGTATAGGGTTTACGTTCCTCGCGGCAGTAGGTGCGTGTGATATCGATTCGCCCCACAGGTAGGCAACCCTGCGCCATGCTTGCTGTTGAATGTGATGGGTGTCATTCATTGCCCGTTTTTTGGTGTCATCCCGAGATACTGCAGGATTTTGGGGCTAGTTTCGCAATTTAAAAAAACAGGCTGGCGTCCACCATGACCCTGATGCCGCCATAAAACTTCAGTGTTTTCATTTTATGTTTCTGCATGAGCAGCAATATTTGATTTGGGGTAGTAGGAGTCCCCAATAAGAAGTCAGCTCACATGATCTTTAGGATCACTACATTAGTGTTAGGAGAACAGGGTTGTATGTTGGTTTTCATTTTAAAGCAAGACGCCGCTCACAAGATGTTTGTACCTCCAGGTCAACCTCAACAGCCTTCTGCTGCGAGGGGTGATCAACATGTCCAATGGTATCTTCATTGGCATTTGTGGCAAGGCCGCACCGTGACCATTCTCGGATTTCCGAACATTAGTGGCCCCTTGTTTCGGGGTCCATCCTGCAGGGGTTACATGAATAGTCGGGGTAAAAGGGCGACACTTTTCTTACAAACTACCATGAAGACTCCCGAGTTAGCAGCCCTTCTTTGCATTACCACCTCTGAGAATATTTCTACCTCATATAGCTTCTAATTCTCACTTGTATAGCATCAGGCTGTACATTGTTGTGTGCATTGTCCTCAGGTAATGGCATCCTTATGGGTCCCTCAAACCCTTAACCCTAAACCCTAAACCCTGAACTCTAAACCCTAATTGGGGGGTGGATATTGTAAATGCTGCGTGCCGGCTGCCTCAGCCAGGGTGGGGCCCGGGCGAAGTAAAACCCTGGGGGGGGGGAGAGGTTAGGGTTTAGGGTTTGGGGTTTAGGGTTTGGGGTTTGGGGTTTAGGGTTTGGGGTTTAGGGTTTAGGGGTTTAGGATTTAGGGGGAAACCCTCATCCGCGGAACCCAAACTAATGGGAATCAAGCATCTTGAGAAACTCCTTGTATTTCTGAGGCTGTAGCAGCCGCAGTTGGGCTGAGAATTCTCTTAGAAGGCAGCGAAAGTGGACGGCGCAATTTCGATGGGCTTTGAATTTGCTGGGATGCGATCGTAGTGATCGCCCAAAGGGAGCCCTGCCGTTAACACAGTTGGG